CTGAATGGCCACCAGGGCCCGTGTGCGGCCCTGGCTGTCGAAAGCCTCCGCCTCGTCTGCGAACACGTCCGCGCTGGGCCGACCCTGGGAAGCGGAGATGACAAACACCTCCTGGTCAAGGAGGCTGGAGACTATAGGCCGTCAACCCGGCGTCTTGGAGGTCCCCCAGCCCTGCCTGGAGTTTCGCACGGCCGCGGCCGCCTCACAGCTCCTCCGCGAAGCGGCCCTCTCCGCCGAGTAGAGCGCGAGGACTCTGTGGCGGCCGAAGACCACACTCGGCTTGCCATCCTTGTGCGACTGGTAGTTGTCCTGGACCAGCCACAGGGCTGGGAGACGGCCCAGGCGAAGACTGAGGCTGGCGAGGTGCATCAGGAACTCCACTGTGCCCACATGGGCACTGTGGAGCAGGGCAATGGGAGGCCCCTGCTTTGGGCTCGCAGGCAGATCCTCCTCAGGGCTTGGCCTGCCGCGCCTGGCCTCGGAGCGGTGCCGCTCCAGGCGGGCTCGCATCGCCGCCGCGTGCTCCGCGTCCCATTCGGTGCTCTTCCTGATCTTCCCACCGTCATCCTCCAAGCGTTCCCCGAAGGGCTTCCACACCGGCTGGGGAAACACATGGTCAGATAGCTTGGCAGAAATCTTGCCACAAAGCTCGACCACACGGGCGATTCCAAAAGGCAGGGGGCGGCGATGATTCGCCGTAGGTGTCTGCGATCCGCCGCCACCTGTTGATTTACCATAGGGGTGCCTGGCGTGCTGAACGTCTTAAAAACTTGTGGTTCGGTTGAAAACTCCCCCTGGGGCTTCGGCCGATGCCGCTGGCCACACAGAAGACCCGGTTGCAAAGGTTTCTCCTGCTCCAGATGGCCAAAATGGCTCTCTGGTCACATCCCAAATCATGTATTCACTGAACACGGCGTGGTTAAACAAAACAGAAAAGAGAAGGCCGGATGGATTTCAAGCAAGATGCCTGCGAAGAATACTACATATACCTCCCGCCTTTCTTACGCGAGTACCGCATAGCAAAGTTCTGCAACAAGCTGGTCAAAATCAGTACAGCGCGCAACTTCTTCAATAACAAATCTTTTCTGTTTGGCAAAATTGACCGGGCGTCAGATACGGACTTTCTTCGGCAACTCACGTTTTTCAGCCCGGCACAGTTCTCTCAGCTGTGGATGCGTATCAAAGGAGGAGAGGCAGACCCAAACACGAGTGAGCGAAATGCCTACACAAGTTTTTGGTTGCTCATCTTGGCCCGGAACATACTTGGGAGCAGCGCTTGCAGGACCCCATCGAGTGGTGCAGTATTGCTGAACACATTGCACACCATGGTGATAAATTGGATCACCTGTAGCATTATACATGTTTTGTTTACATACGTTGCATGTGATGCCTGGTGCCTTGGCATCCTGTCTGCATTGCCCTCCTCCCTCCCTCCTCCTCCTGCCGCGCACGTTGTGATTTTTGCGACCGCCGTCGTGCCGCCGCTCCCGCAAAGCGGTGAGAATAGGCTGGCCCTGTCTTCTTTTCGCCCACGCGCTCTGGCGTATGGCATGAGTGAGTGAGTGAGAAGGCCCAAGAGTGTCCCAGATGCCTCCAAGTCCGCCCGAGAAGCCTCCAAGACGGCCCAAGACGGCTTCAGATGCCCCCCAGAGGCCTCCAAGACGGCTCAAGAGGCCTCCAAGAGGTCCTCCAGGAGGGTAAGTTGACTCTCCGTAGGTTGTTGCTTCTTTTTCGGCCTTCCGACGGCCCATGAGGGCCCACGAGGGACCCAAAATCGCTACAACGTGGCCCAAAGGCATCCAAGATGGTCCCAGGGCGGCAAAAGAGGCCATCAAGACGGCCCCAAGAGGGCCCCAAGACGGCATCCAAGGCGGCCCTGGAGAACCTCAAGAGGGCCCAACTCGGTTCAGAGAAGCATCCAAAACAGCTTCCGACGGCATCAGACGGGCAAGGAACTCCCGAAGGCGGCCAAAGCGGCCCCGAACAAGCCCCCAAAGGCTCCCAAGAGGCCCAAGGTGGTCCCCAAGAGGCCTGCGAGAGGCGTCCTCCTCCTTCTTCTCCTTCTCCTCTTTCCTCCTCCTCCTATGTGGTCCAACCAGCTTCGTGAGTTTGAATGTTATGTTCCCGTTGGCCAATTGCGTGAAGAATGGACTTCAGCTTGCTCGGCAGGCAGAGAGCGCTACGTGGAGCAGCTGTTCGGGACCGCTACTGGTTGCTCGAATGTCTTTACCGAGGATGGGTTGGAATATGTCTGACTTCACGACCCTGACCTCGGACACGGGTGTAAAAATCAGTCGTACCACCTCCTCCCCGAAGCTGGTCAAGCGTTCACTTCATCAAGGCGTTTGGAGGTCCTTGGAAAGGGTATATAGACAAAAGCTGGGATTCGAAGGAAGGTCGTGTTTCGACATCGTCAAAGCCGAGCTCAGGTCTAGCAAGCTGACCCCTTTGCAAAAAGGTTTCCTCAAATGTTTCGCAAGCGACGGCCTTTGGACAAAGACCCGTGCGCAGGCGGCTGGCTACGCCTTAGAGGACGACGATCTCCAGCGTGCCCTTTGTGCAAGTGCTCCTGACACGATCCCCCACCGATTGCACGAGTGCCGTGCGGTCGCGGATCAGAGGTCGGAGATCGCCGATCCTGAATGTATCCAGACGGCTCTGGCTATGCAGCCAGATCAGGTTGAGTTCCACTTCTACACCAAGGCCTGCTTCCCGCACCCAGGGGATAGGCTGCCGCCGCCCGCTCAGGAGTCAGCTATTACGGTTTCCTGGACAGGTTCGACTTCTACCAGGACTGAGATCTCAGGGCATGTGTTTTTGAACGCCTCCCAGTCTAAATCTGACACTCCTGAATTAAATCGGGCTGATTGGGGCTTAGCGGTTTTCAACGATCAGTTTGAGCACGATTGTTCAATCTCTGGCCCTATTTGGGCTGACCTACCTCAGACCTCTCAAGCGGGGGAATACGGTGCCTATGGGGCCTCCAACGAGTTCCTTGGGGACCCCTCGGTAGGTTACAACGATTGATTGCAACAATGTGGTCAGCCGTTTGCCCAACCTCTTGCGCGGCAGACTCAATATAAACGACCACATGCTGCAATGTTATTGAGACGACACTTGGTTGTTACTCGGATCGAGAAGGTCAACGCACATGTTCCTGACAGTGCCGACCTTTCAGAATATGAACGTTTCTACAAGAGAGGGAATGGTGCTGCCGACCTGGCCGCCAAACAGGGAGCAGCAGCGCATCCCCAGCCATCTCCTGCTGAGCTGCAAGAAGTGGGCCGCCTCACCGCTGCAGCCAGGAAGGTTTGTAAATTAGCTTACACTTTACTGCCTCTTTGTCCGAAATTAGATCCGTCGGATGTTCCGTGGGTCCGTCGTTCCGCACCTGTGGTCCAACTGGCAACTGATTCGGAGGCCCACGAGTGGCTCTGATGTCGCACCTTCTGGAGGTGTCAGACTTGTCTCAAGGTCAAGCGCCAGCTGCCGCACGTCGCCTTAGGCTTCTAAGAGAGGGGGTCACACGGTGGTCGGGCTTAATTGTTCAAATTCGACCTGCCGGTATTTGTGCACTAGATGTTATGGTTACACCTGTGGTGGCCAATTCAAGAAGTTGCAAGCCGTTGGCAGTCCAGAAGCCAAAGGTTATCTGAGCAAGTATGCAGCGTCTGTTCGCCGTGCGCTCAGCAGAGGAGTGCACCCCAAGCTCGCAGGCGTCACCTGCGAGGTCTTCAATCCAGAAGATTTCGAGCAGGACGATTAATCTTCTGGTTGTTTCCCCACCTGTGGGCACCGTGCCTGGTCAAACAAACTCCTTCCTCCTCCTCCTCCTACCCGAAAAAATCTAGACGGCGGTTTCTCATCGCTTTAGGCCTCTCAGGGAAATCACCAGGCCTCGGGACCGTCAAACAATGATTCGGGATGGAAAAGCTGTCCTGGGGAAGTGATCGAGAGGGTGTGGGCTCGAATCGAGACGCTGGATGTCTGGGGAGGAGGGCGGGGGGGAAGGCGGGAGGCTGCTACGGTCGGGAACTTTTGCTTAGCGTGTCGCGGCGGCGGCCCCAGCGACACGCTATGGGTTGGAGGGCGGGGACTGCGTGTTTGGACTGCGTTTCGCAGTCCACCCCGCTGCGAGCGCCAACCACACTGGAGGGGTTACGGGCCAGCGCAACGGGGCGGCGGGTGGCCCCCCGCAGATGCGCCCTGGAGGACTGCCCCTTGGGGCCCGCCCGATTGCTGCGCGCGGGGTGGGGTGGGGGGGGGGGTGAGGGGGAGGGGCATTGCACTGATGAACAAAAAACGGCATAAACATAAACTTTTGAAGGTCCGCGCAGATTTCTTGGATCTGAGCTGGACCGCGCCAGGGCCGGCGCCGGAGGCGCCGCCATGGGGCCCCAGCGCAGAGTCAAGAAAGTCGCGCGGACCGCCAACATTTTGTGTTAAAGCAGTTCTTTGTTTTTCGATGTACTGCCCTCGAGACGTTTCTGTTGAGGGGCCAGCGTTGAGAGGATCCTGCTGTGGGGCAGATGGGAGAGTAGACAGGGGAAGGGGGGGGCACCTGGGGGATGGGAAGGGGGAAAGCCACGGGGGGGGACGGCAGACGGGAGAAGGCAAGGATGAGACAGCGGCGCGGGGGACAAGAGAGGTGAAGAGGAGCGGGAGGACAGGGGACATCCTGGAAAGAACGACCTCCTTTCCAAACGAGCGCCATGCCCCAGGCGTTCGGAAGCCAACGCCTTCGGCTGGGTTCCAAGCAGACGCAGCAGAACAACTACGCGTCGGCCGTGGGAGCGGCATGGGGAAGGTGTGCGGCGCGCAAAGCGTCTTTTGTGGGCGCCGGCCAGACGGGGGCGCCGACGATGTGCTACGACGATGGTGAGATTATGTGATGCTGCCGAATCGTATGCCCGTATCCCTCTCTCTTTCTTTCTTTCTCACTTTCTTCGGCTGCTTCTCTCACTCTCTCTCTTTTTTTTTTGTTCTTTTTCTTTTTTTTTTCTCTCTCTCTCTCTCTCTCTCTCCCCCTCCGGCCCAAGAGCTGCCCAAGGGCTTGCCTCGATTGGTATTGGGCAGCTCTGGGTCGTGCTCTGGGCGCCCTGGGGGCGCTGTCGGCACGGGCAAGGCGGCGCGGGCGTCACCAGGTCTCAGGGGATGCCGCACGGGGTCGCCTCTGCCGCATCTTCTGCGAGCGAGATCAGCACACATGCCACAATATCAGCTGCCCCGATACGCGGCACGCAGCACGCTGCGTTTTGACACGGGGATCAACCCGTATACTGAAAACGTATGTATGACGTGGTACATTCGCCAAACCGTGGGCCAACACGTGCCGAACCACCGCGCAACAGATTAATCCGGGCGTTTGGAACACGGCGCGCGCTGCGTTTCAACACGGGCGTGCCAGAGCAAATACAGCCACAATATTTAAAAAGGCGACTTGGGCAGAGGGATGTCGACGCCCAAAACGTTCACCGCGTTGTCGGTCCTCCGCTGTTCTTCCCCCAGTTTCAGCAGGAACACGATCTTGCCCCAGCGCCTCCGCAGATTTTTGCCGAGGAAAGAGCCTAGGTTGATCCACTCCGTCGGCGGAAACTCGTACTCGCGGAGCTGCTCTAGCAGCTCCCTCCACTCGGAGTCGCTGGAAGAAGAACAAACAACCGCATGAGCACAAACTTTCGGAGGTCCGCGGCTGCCGCGCCGAGCGCGCCAGGGGCGATGCCGGAGGCTCTGCCAGAGTGGAGCCTAGCGCCCACCCGAAACATCAGTGCGGACCTCCGAGAGCTTGTCAGGGCGACGAGACCTATACATCCGCCGCCGTGCTGCTGGGCACGGACTGGGCGTGTCCTCGGGTCCTTTGCCCAATCCCCTGAGCCTCAGTCCTCAGCTCAGCAAAGACACTTAGGGGGAGGGACATAACTTTCCGAAATCTCTTCGGGCTCGTCGCGTGCCCCCTGGGCCCTCCCCGCATCTTGTCGCGTGACTTCTTCGGGCCCAAGAGGGCCCCGAGACAGGCTGGGCGAGCCTCAAGAGGCCCCTCAAGACGGTCCGAGAGGGCTCTGAGTCGCCGAAAGATCGTCCCCAGACGCGCAAGATGGCCCTGAGACGGTCCCAGAAGCTCCAAGACTGCCCAAGAGGCCTCCATGAACCCCCAAGAGGCCTCGAAGAGGCCTCCCAAGAAGGCTCCAAACCAGCATCATTGAGTCCCTCGGATTTTTGGAGTCGTTCGGCATGCTTGCCTGCCCGACTGCCCGAGAGGCCGCCCAGGCGCCCCCAAGACGGCGCAAGAGGGCCCCCAAGCGGCCCAAGAGCCACCCAAAACGGCCTCCACGAGGCCCAGGACGGCCCCAAGAGGACCCACTAAGCCAACAACGAAGCGCACGAACCGAGAACTCGAGACTTCCACCTCGAGAGCGCCCCAGAAGCTCCCAAGTGTTTTTTGCCTCCCTCAGAGACATCGATAGGTTCAACCAGGTGCCCCCCGCGCCGCGCAGCCGCGCGGAGGTCAGCCCGCGTCGCTCCGCTGGCAGAACTCCCACACGTGGGCCGTCACCTCATCGACCTCAGCCACGTCGTGCGCCGCCGCGCTGGACTGGCTCCAGCAACGTCGGGAGCGGCGTCCCCGTCTGCGGGCGCTGTCCGCGCAGCAGGCGACCCCTCCTCTTGCGTTTCGTGTCCGCCCCCGAGCTCACTCCTCCCGGCGGGGGGGGGGCGCGCGCGCCTTGCTGGGCCCGCCCCGCCTCTGCGCCGCGCGCGCGCCGCGCGCGGGCCGCAGGACTGCGCAATGCGTTGCCGCCTCTCGCCCTGCTCCTCTGGGGGCGGTGCTGCCGAGGCAGGTGGTGCGCGCGGCCCTTCATCGCCTGCCCTGGGCGAACGGGATCTCCTTCTGCCATCGCTGGTGTCCTCGCCACGCCCGCTCGGGCCGCCGATGCCGCTGTTGCCCGCTGCTGCGGCTGTTGCGGCCACTGCCGCTGCGGCCACCGCGCCTGCTGACGACGTGCTGCTCGTAGCCGTCGACCTGGCCGCCCTCTGCCTCTCGCCCCGCGCCGGGCTCGCCCGCGCCGACCTTCTCGCTGCGCGCTACCATCCCCGCGAAGCGCCAAAGCGGCGGCCTGCTCTCCGCTGCCCACAACTTCTTGTGCATGCGCGTCGCGGCAGCGCCCCCGCTGCTCCACCCCGTGCAAAGTAGGGCTGACCTGGGGCTTGGAGAGCCGACGCCGTCGTTGACCTGGCGGCCGATGGGGGAACGTCAGGCCGCTCTCCCGTGGCTCCCCAATGCCGCCAGCCCAAGTTCTGCACGGCTCAGCTCGCACGAGCCCCCAAGTCCGCCAAGGCATCCTGCATGCCGCAACTGAATCCTCCTCGGCCCTCCAACTGCCCCATGGCCTTCTTGGAGCGGTGCGCCTCGACGTGCTGCGCGCAGTCGATATCCAGGCCACTGTCCGCCCACTGATGCCAAATCCGCCGCCAAAGATCAGCATGCGGACGCTTCCAGCTGAGGCGCCACCGCGCTCCGCGCGCCAGGCCGTCCAGATTGCCCCTTTGATTTGTGAAGATCCTGCGCGGCGGCAGCGCCGCCTCTAGCGCCTTCAGGAAGGCCCAGAGCTCGGCTCGCTTCACCGTCTTCTGGACGCGGCACTGGCGCGGCAGCGGCCCCCGCAGCTGCAAACGCGGCTGGCCTTCCTCCGCGATGGCCATGGCCGCCCGGCCCGCCTGGGCCCAGCGGGCGGCGCCAAGTTTCGACTCGTCACAGAAGATGTTGCCAGTCAGGATGTCGTCGTCGCCCTCGATGACGTCGTGGTGGTACTGATCCTCATTGGCCGCCTGAAAGCGCCAATCTGCTGAGGGGTCGCGCACCAGCCTGCGCGTCCACAACAAATCGTCGACCTGCTGCTCTGCCGCGCGCAGCCACCCAGGTTGCCCGCGTAGCCGCGCCTCTCGCGCGCGTGGACACTAGAAATATACGTGAGGCGGCGCGCCCGCTGCTTCACCGCAGCCCAAGCAGATGTCCGCGGGCGTAATGTTGCACTCCGACAGCTTGTCCATCGCCCACGAGTCGCACAGCACCACCGCGCGCGCCGCATGCTTGGCGCGCTCGGGTAAGCCTCTCGCCGCCAACTGCGCCGCCACCGGTTGCAGCAGAGGGGCGGGCGCCAATGACTGGTACTCGCGCTGCTCCGTCCAGCGCTGCCGTAAGACCGCTTGCGCGTCGGCGCGCTGCAGGGCTGCCACGTCCGTGGGGCACACCTCAGTCATGTCCACCATCTCGCCCTTGCGCGTTATAAAGGTGCGCCAGCTCGGCCATGTCCTCCCCGCCCTTAGCAAGGACGTGGTGACTGCGCCTGCTGGCCCCATACTGCTGACGCGTGCCTACCAACACCTGCTCTCGCTTCCAGGCGTCCTGTAACTGCTTACGCATCGCCTCCTGCACGCAGTTGCCCCTTTGCCTCCTGCGCGCAGCTGTCCCTTTGACGCCCGCTGGCTGGAGCCTCTGAGACGCACTGCAGGCCTCCCACCCTGACGATGCGCTGCAGGAAGCTCGCCGCGTCCCCGAAGTCGCCGTGAACCCCATCGCACTGAGGGGGGTCTGGGCCGAGATCAGCATCTCCTGCAAGCGCGGGAGCGCTGGCCCCCAGCAATCGCCGCCTGAGGCGACGCCTCAAGGATCGGAGATCCGGCCAGTGGTGCAGCTCCATGCGCTCCCGCGCCGCGTCGCCTCGGGCGTTGAGCTGCCTGAACCAAGCACGTCGCCCCCGCGCAGACCGCGCCCGGGAACTGCGGGGCATCCCAGCCCCAACCTGCCGCCCCGCCAGCTGCGAGCCGTTCTGGGCGCAGGGGCGTTGGCGCAGGGCCCCCCGCAAGGGTCGCCGCGACGGCTCCGCCAAATCGGACTACACGACAGGCGCGCACCACTCCAGCCAGCCGTCGAAGTCCAAGAACTCTTCCCCGCGCAGATCCTGGACCCACAACGTCGACCACGCTCCGAAAGTCTCGCGCAGCTCCTCGGCCACCTCCACCTGCGGGAGCGGGCCGACATCACCGTCCACGTCCTGGCCCTCGAACACCTTGTCGCCACTCCACCGCGCGGAGCGGTCGCGCGACTGCCCCTGGCTTTGGGCGAGGCCGTGGGGTGCTCAAAGAAAGGGCTCTACCTCGACGCATGCTGGGCGACGCCTGCCCACGGCAGAGGGCGCGGGTCCCGCGACGCCCGAAGGCGCGCCGCTCACGGGGGGGAGCAGCGCCATTAAAGGCAGCATGCGCCCGCCCGCCCTCGGAAGCCGCCGGCGCGCCTTGCCGCGGCGCAGCGCGCCTCGCGTGCCCATTGCCCTGGCCCAGGTCGCGCCTCATCCTCGGGTGGCCCTGCCTGGCCCGGCCCCGCTCGGGAGAAGGATGGCGGCGGCAGCCCCATGGCGCCAAGAGCGCGGCTGGCCCCTTCGGCCGAGGGCGCGGGCCCTGCAGGTCCAGGAAGCGCGCCGCTCGGGGGGGGGGGGGGGGGCAGCATCCGCAAGCCCGCTCTCTGGATCCGTCGACCCACCTTGCCGAGGAGCCGTGCCATGGGGCTCCTGCGCGGCATCGGCCGCCCCTGCTGCTTCCTGCGCCCTCGCGCAGGCCGCAATTCGCTCGACCTCGTCCGTGACCGCCGTCTCCGACGTTGCTGGCGCTCATCCGACTGGGGCCTCCGCGACGTCGCAAGTGGGCTCTTCCTTCGCGGGCGCGAACTGCACGGCCAGGCTCTTGGCGCCCAGTTGCCCTAGCAGGATCTTGCCTGCTGCCCGTCGAAACTGTTGGAGCTGATGCTTAGGCATACCCAAACACTTGCAGGCGCGCAGCACCGATTGCTTCAACCCGCACTTATATGCCAGACCCGAGCCTCTGGACATAGCACGGCCACTCCTTTGTTCGTTGAGCAGCCTCGTCGTGCGCTTTCGCATCTTGCTCAAGCGCTTGGCGCCCTTGGACTTGGTGTCACTGTGCCCCGTCGCGACCACGCCCGCGCCAAGGCGCGGGCGCGCTCGCGCCGCTGGCGGTCCCGCTGCGCCATGTCCTCGCGCGCGGCCCTTTGCAACCATTCGGCGCTGGCCACGACCGCGCCCTCGCCCTGCTCCCCCGCGGAGAGCTCGAGGCCCCAGCTTGCGAAGCTGCCAGCGCAATAGTCGACGACGTCCGTGAAAACGTCTGCCGCCCACTGCTGCGCCCCCCTCTGCTCGACGCGCGGGTCGCCCACGTGCGCGCGCCGCGTTGCGACGGAGTGCTCCACCGCCAGCGTGTCCACAGTGTCTTGGGCCACCATCTTCAGAGAGCCCACGGGGAACTTGCCGCCCGCAATGATAGCGCCCACCGTGCTCGTCTCCGCGGACACCGACCCCCTGCCGCGATGCGCCTGGCCATCGCGAAATACGAACACGCCGCCGCCAGGACCCCCGCGTGGAACTTCATGCGCTTACCCCGTTCCCAGCGCACGCGCAGGCCCACAGTCTCGAAGGCCTCAACCAGGTGCAGGATGGCCGAGATCGTGACCATGACGGACGGGTCAACCGCGCCCGGATCGCCCGCCTCATGCGTAATCAGCACTTCCCAAGCCGCGCCCTCTGCCGTCCTGCCGCGAAACGCGCGGCCCCACGACCCCTGGTGAGCCCTGGCCCAGCCGAGCAAGTGCGAATCCCGCATGACCCCCATGCTCGCGCCAGCGTGGGGAACAGCCCAATCGCTCGATCAGCCCCCGCGCTCCTCGGGATCAAGAAGAAGAGGAAGAAGACCGTGGCTGCATGAGCTGGCCAGATCCAGGCGCGCTCCGCCTCCGTCACCACGTCGAGCAGACAGGGTCCGACACCCCCTGCAACATAAGCGGATGCCACCTGTCCACCCCGATGCCAATCTTCTTCTTGAAATGCCGCGCGACCTTCCGAAGCCCATCGAGGTCCGCGTCCGCGTGGTCGGCCAGCCCAATGCGCCCCTCGTGCGCCTGCAGCCGCGGGCCCCCCTGCAACGGGCCTCCCACGCGTCATGCCTCGTTCCAATCGCCGAGCGCTGTCTCGGCGGCTTGGAGCGCATCTGCTGGCGCCTGCACCGAAGCCGCCCGACGGGGCCTCCAGGTCTCCGCCGGCTGCCTGAGCTCGCACAGCCCTCCAGCCGCGCCTGACGCCGCCGCCTCAAGCTGGTCGGCGCACTTCTGACGCCGCTCCTTCACGAGATCGTGGTCGCGGCGCTTGGAACGGGCCTGCGCCTCCTGCGCATGCACCTGCTAATCCTTTTGCAGAGAGGGGTCTCGCCAAGCGCACCGAGATGCCAGCGCGCAGCGACCCCCCCCCACCACCCCCGCGCAACTCGCGGTCAGCCTCGCCCAGGACCTTCATGCTGGAGGCCTGGGCCCCAAACTTCAGCACCAGGGCGATGACCTCATTGCGCCTTTGTGCTAGGGGCCATCGTTTACCGCTCGCGAGTGCAACCTGCCGCATGCGCCCGCCAAGTTGCGCAGCGAGCGCGCAATCCACCTCCATCACAGCGCAGATTATTGAGGCTTCGGCGGATTGGACCGACCACGGGCGATCACCTCCAGCCTCCACTGCGGCAGCTGAGCTCGCCTACCCTTCTCGCGACGCTCTGCCCGGGCCATGCCGCGCGCCCCGGAAGCCTCCTGCTCCGGCGCGCGCATGCACTGTCCCACGCCTAGGCGGCCGCCTCGGGCGCAGTCCCCCGCGGGCGCGTGCCCCGGCGGCTCGGGCGCGCAGCCAATCGTCGCGTCGTCCAGCGGCTTCGGCCGACTGAGCGTTCTCGTCCACCTCTCCCTTGGGTACGCGTCCAGCGTTGGCCCCGCTGGTTTGCGCTGCACTGGCGGCCGCCCCTCTTGCGCTGCAATTTTCACTACCTGGCCTCTCAGCGCCTCCGACGGGATGAGGTGGCCGATGGTGGCGCTGGCCCACGCAATGCGGCATGCGCCGCGCGAAGCCGTCGGGGCCACCGGCGCCGCCTTGGCCAGCTTGAGCGCGCCCAGCTCGGCCAGCGCGGTCGGGTCAGTCTGGAAGACGCCGCGCGCGACCAACGGGGCCGCCGGGCCCTCGCGGTGCCCGACCACGCGCTCCAAGAAACGCCTGTCGAGCCCTCGGCCGCCCACGGATGCGCCGACGTCACCGCTAGGCCTCCGCGCCCCGCGTCAATCCAAGCTGGCGCAGCTCACCCTGGACTGCCCTTTGCGGGGAGATGCCCCGCGTCTTCTGGCCCGTGGCGAACGCCATGCCCACGCCCTTCGGCGCTGCAATAGCGACGCCAGCCGACGTGCCTTCCCCCCCCTGCTGGCCTGTGGCGGGCACGACGTGGGCCCCGCCAAGCTGGTGGCCCTGCGCTTTCGTGCCGAGGGTGGCGCCCGCCCACTTGTCCTCCAACAGGCGGCGCCCCCTGACCGCGCAGGTACGCCGCGCGCCCGCGCCCCTGGCCTGCGACAGATTATCCTTGATGGTGCCCCAGCTGGAGCCGTTGAAAGTCCACGACGCGACCGTCTTCCGCTTGGACCCGGGCTTTGCTGGTGCGCAGAGGAGATGCCGCAGCTACACGCCCCTCGAGACCCTCGCGTATCCTCTCTACTCACGAATAGCACGTTGCCCAGGCACCTCTGCGCACCCCCGCGCGTCGCCGCGGCAACCATCGGGCCCTCCTGGGGAATGCACATCCCAGGCCACGGGTGCTGTCGTCGCGATAGGGTTGCCGCGTGCGCGGCATGTGAGGCGAGGGCTGCGACGTCGAGGGGCTGAATCCCCCCCCCGCCCTCGCCTCAATCCCATCTGCCATCCCACCTGGGGCCTGCTCACCAGCCATCCCCTCAAGGGCCGCTTCGCCTGCCCCATCGCCCTCGGGCGACTGTCTCTGGCCGCCCCGCGGGGCCCCAGTCCGCGCCCGCTCAGGCTGGCGCGCGCTGGTTCTGGCGCGGGTGGATCGCGGCTGCTGCGCGCGACGGCGAGGGCGCGTGTCCGAGGTCCGCGCCGTTCAGGACGAGAAAGAGTAGGCCGCTAACTCAAACGCTGCCGCTTGATTTGGTTGGCGTGGGCGCTGACAAGCACGGCCTGGTAACGCTTGAAGCGCTCTGGCTGCTGTTTCGGATCAGGTGCATCTTCATGTTTGGACGCCCGACATGGGCGCGGGAAAAATGAGTACAATGCCCAAGAACAAATGTTGTCCCAAAACAACAACGGCCGCTGTTGGGCACGCGGCCTTCTGCCTTAAATGGGCACGGGCCGCGGCGACACGAACAGCGAGTCCTGTTCAAAATGAACTAGATCCGCTGTTGAACATTGTACCCATTCTTTCCGTGCCCAATTCATTCGTGCAGATCAGTGCCGTCGAGCCACTTCCTCTCCTCCTCCTCCGGAACGTCGTCGGGCACATCTTGGTCCACCGTCAAATTGCAGGCCCCACCCGTGCCTATCTGACCCGCCGCGGGCGGCGCGCCCCCGCCTAGCTGCTCAGCAGGCTCAGCAGGAAGAGCAGCTGCAGCCGCGGCCAGCATGGCCTCCAGCTTGGCCAGGCCCTCTGCGAAGCCGAGGGCGTCCAGGCTGGTGCCCAGCTTCGCGACGCAGGCCTCCAGCTGCACCTTCGCGACGTCGATGCCAGAGGCAAGGCGCTTGGGCCCCTCTACGGCTACGCGCGCCTGGATCTCCAGCTCGTAAGCCCGCGCCTCCGCCTCCGTCTGACGTAACTCCTAGCAGCGCTTCTGCTGCTCCACCAGGGCCTGCTGCATCTTGTGCATATTGGCCTCCTCGGTCTCCCGCTGCTTGCTGACGCGAGTCGTTCTAGCAGTCGCATCACGGAGCTGGGACGCCAGGGGCTCGGCCTTGTCCCTCTCCTCGCGCGCCACTGCGGTCCTCTTGTCGTAGTCCGCCAACGCCTCGAGACGCCACGATGGGGGGGCCGCCCGGCAGTCTTTGTCAGGGTACGGCGACTCCCATATCTGCTTCCTGGCGCCGAGCAGTTCCTCCACCTTCCTATTGCCCTTGGGATCCTTGGCCTGGTCCTGCACCCAGGGCGGCAGCGCCCCACCGGCGCCAGCAGCTGCCGTAGCAGCGCCCTGCTGCCCACTGCTGTTGTCCTCCGAGAGCTTCTGCATCTGCTGTTGCAGGATGCCTGCCAAAGCTGCTTCGAGCTGAGGATCGAGCTTGCGCTGACCCTTGCATCGCCATTTGCCTCCTTAGCCACGCGGCCTCTCGAGCCCGCGTGCCCGACGGTACGACTTCGTAGCCCAGTTGTTGCCCGTGCCACATGTCCCGCACGTCCAGCTTGACTCCTCCTTTGCAACCGACGCGGCGCCTGGTGGAGGCCATGCCGACATCGCTGCTCCACCCTAGCCGCCCCCGAACACAAGACTCCACTTCGGCTTGCGCTTCTCACCGCCGCCCTTGACCTGCCACTCTCGATCGCCGCCCGCCATCGGTGCGCCCCACGCGCTGATATGAACCCACGAAGGGTCATTGGCCGCGGACTAACAGTATCCGTGCGTTCCGCGAGGGAACTCATAGTCTTGAGCCAAATGGCTACGGCAGAAGCCTCCAAGAGTCCCCAAGAGGCCTCCACGAAACCCCCCAAGATGCCCCCAGGAAGCCCACAAGAGGCCCAAGGAGGCCCCCCAAACGGCTCCCACGAGGCGTCCAAACTGCCTCCAAAAGTCCCCCGAGAGGCCCCCCACGAGATCCCAACGAACATCCAACAGGCTTCATACCCACAAACAATCCAGACACGGTGGCGGGATGGACCGAAGGCCATTCGCCGCCCCCTCAAGCCCATCCTGCGCCCAGTATAGGTGCAAACGCCTCCCTGGCCAAACCAGGACGGCGTCTGCACCGATCCCGGGCCCAGGAGGGGCCCGGCCAGGGGCGTCGTCGATGTGCATAGGCCCCGCTGCCCGGTCTGTGCCAGTGCCGCTTGTGCTCCTAGAGGCCTGAGGTCCGTGTGGCGCGCGTGGAAAGCCTCGACGGTCTGGTTCGACAACGCCTCGGACAGCCGCACCCGGGCCCCGTGGTCCATCTCGTCGCCGAGGTCAGCCCAGTCCAGCATGCTGACGTCCTTCTCCACCATGCTCCCAGCGAAAGCGCTCAGCCCGAGCTGCGACACCATCGTCGGCAACTCCTGGGGGTCGGCGTCCGCGTCCAGGAACGCCCTGAACTCGGGGACCTCCCCGAGGTCGTCGTCGTCGAGCCCGAGCTCCAGCGCGAGGTCCATCGAGCTCTGCAGCCTCGCCCTCTCCCTCATCACCTGGGGAGACCCAGAGGTTCCGATACCGCTGCTCCCCCGAGGTGCGTTCTGATTGCGTTCTGACCAGGTTTTCGAAGCGAATCCAGCGGTGGCGACGAGGGCCTCCCAGGAGGCCCAGAAAGGCGGAAGCAAGGCCAGGGTAGCGGCATCGGTACCTTCTACTCCTGTGATCACCGGGTCGCTCCTTGCCCACTCCTCTTCCGCCAGCGCGGACAGCTCCTCTCGGCACGCCCGACATGAATACGGGTAAGATAGTACATGAAAGCAATGCCCGAAAACAGCAAATGTTGTCAAGCATCGCCAGCGACAGCTGTTGGAAAGGCGATTTGATATCGTCAAAGGAGATCGTCCGCGGCGACACTGACAACAATGCCTCTTCAAAATGGACAGGAAACGTTTCAGTCTTCGTACCCATTTCAATCGTACCAATCCTCCACCTCTGTGTTGACCTCACACATGGGATCCGAGTGGATGGGATCGGAGGATCGCGCCGAGTCGCCGATGCATCGGCGACGCGGGCGTGGAAAAAATCGGGATCCCCATCGAGCCGCAGCGCCGATGTATCGGCGATGCGGCGCGATCCTCCGACCCTATTTGCTCCGACCCAATGTGGGAGGACGGAACCAGGTCGCCCCACCCTTTCCGAAGGGGGGGAGGAGGGAGGCCACCCTGCCAATTATCCTCCAACCTGAAACCATCGAGAGGAAGGAGGAGGAGGAAGGTTGAGCGGCGGGGCCACTCAAAGGATGTGTACCTTGCCGTTCTGATGGTTTGAGCAAGGACTGGCCGTCCTGGCATGCCTCTAAGCCTACCACGACATGTTCTTAGAACCAAAGAGTGTTCTAATAACAACAACAATGTTCAACATACAACTCTTGTGTATGACAAGCGAGAGTGCCTCAGCCAGAAATGTTCTAAGAACATTTCGCACAACCCACAACAGGTTCTTAGAATTTTCTTCGGTGGGCATCTAGGCAAGCCAGGAGGCTTCGCCACTGCTTGACGATCGTACCGATCCTCCACCTCCCGCTCCAGGCCCTCCGCCCCTGGCAGGTTGAAGGCGCGGGCCCGCCGCAACGCCGCCTCGGCCGCGTTCAGGCGCTCCCCCGTCGTCTCCGGAGCGCCTCCCTCGCTGCGCGCGCCCGCCGCCCGCCTGGCCACTCGGAGCGGAGCGGCTGGAACAAGTAATACGTACACACAAGTCCCAGGATTCCCCATATGTTTCAAATTTTCTCGATGTTCGTCTTCCCCTCCACTTCCCGAATATTTCCCAACCATCCTGTGGTGTTGGGTCCTCGTTTTGAAGAGACGGTGCCCCGCGTTCCCCTCCTCCTCTCCTCTCCTCCTCTTCCCCCTCCTCCCTCCTCCCATCAGCATCAGCATCATCATCATCATCATCATCATCATCATCATCATCATCATCATCATCATCATCATCATCATCATCATCATCGTCATCGTGATAATCGTCATCATCATCATCATCATCATCATCATCATCATCACCATCATCATCGTCATCACCCACCATCATCGTCATCATCACCATCATCGTCACACCTCTCACACGTTTCGTGGCACCATAGGGAGCTCCACCGAAGGCCCCAGTGCTGCCGCCCGCATGCGTCAGCCACACCCAATTCGGCACACTCCTCACACGTTTCGTGGCCCCATAGGGAGCTCCACCGAAGGCCCCAGTGCTGCCGCCCGCATGCGTCAGCCACACCCAGTTCGGCACACCCCTCACACGCTTCGTGGCCCCATAGGGAGCTCCACCGAAGGCCCCAGTGCCGCCGCCCGCATGCGTCAGCCACACCCAATTCGGCACACCCCTCACACGTTTCGTGGCCCCATAGGGAGCTCCACCGAAGGCCCCAGTGCTGCCGCCCGCATGCGTCAGCCACACCCAATTCGACACACCCCTCACACGTTTCGTGGCCCCATCCACCGAAGGATGCGTCAGCCACACCCAATAGTTTCGTGGCCCCATAGGGAGCTCCACCGAAGGCCCAGTGCCGCCGCCCGCATGCGTCAGCCACACCCAATTCGGCACACCCCTCACACGCCCCATTTGCTTGCAGGGACACCCTATAGGGAGCTCCACCGAAGGCCCCAGTGCTGCCGCCCGCATGCGTCAGCCACACCCAATTCGGCACACCCCTCACACGTTTCGTGGCCCCATAGGGAGCTCCACCGAAGGCCCCAGTGCCGCCGCCCGCATGCGTCAGCCACACCCAATTCGGCACACCCCTCACACGTTTCGTGGCCCCATAGGGAGCTCCACCGAAGGCCCCAGTGCCGCCGCCCGCATGCGTCAGCCACACCCAATTCGGCACACCCCTCACACGCTTCGTGGCCCCATAGGGAGCTCCACCGAAGGCCCCAGTGCCGCCGCCCGCATGCGTCAGCCACCCCAATTCGGCACACACACGTTTCGTGGCCCCATAGGGAGCTCCACCGAAGGCCCCAGTGCCGCCGCCCGCATGCGTCAGCCACACCCAGTTCGGCACACCCCTCACACGTTTCGTGGCCCCATAGGGAGCTCCACCGAAGGCCCCAGTGCCGCCGCCCGCATGCGTCAGCCACACCCAATTCGGCACACCCCTCACACGTTTCGTGGCCCCATAGGGAGCTCCACCGAAGGCCCCAGTGCTGCCGCCCGCATGCGTCAGCCACACCCAATTCGGCACACCCCTCACACGCTTTCGTGGCCCCATAGGGAGCTCCACCGAAGGCCGCAGTGCCGCCGCCCGCATGCGTCAGCCACATCCAATTCGGCACACCCCTCACACGTTTCGTGGCCCCAGCCCGCATGCGTCAGCCACACCCATTTCGGCACACCCCTCACACGTTTCGTGGCCCCATAGGGAGCTCCACCGAAGGCCCCAGTGCCACCGCTCGCATGCGTCCCGCACACCCATTTCGGCACCTCCACCAAACACAGCGTTTCGTGGCCCCACAGGGACCTCCACCGAAGGCCCCAGTGGTGCCGCCCGCATGCGTCACCCCCACCCCAGCACAGCATTTCGTGGCCCCACAGGGAGCTCCACCGAAGGCCCCAGTGGTGCCGCCCGCATGCGCCACCCCCACCCAGCACAGCGTTTCGTGGCCCCACAGGGAGCTCCACCGACGGCCCCAGTGGTGCCGCCCGCATGCGTCACCCCCGCCCAGTACAGCGTTTCGTGGCCCCACAGGGACCTCCACCGAAGGCCCCAGTGGTGCCGCCCGCATGCGTCACCCCCACCCAGCACAGCGTTTCGTGGCCCCACAGGGAGCTCCACCGAAAGCGGCACCCGCAATGCGATATTCACAACTGCACATGGTTGGGTCCTTCGCCAGGATAATTTCCCTGTTTTCCCGGGGATCGACAATTACGTGTGCCGGGGTGTTTCTTTCCCGCCTGATGGAGAAAGCGGCAAGTCAGAATCAAAGTTTGAATGTTTCTCGTCGTCGCAGTCGTCCCCCGTCAGGATCGGCGGCACCGGCCGTAAGGCCTTCGCAATCGGTCCTCCCAGACCTCCCATCGGATCATGGAAAAATCATGGCGGGCGGTTTGGGGGGCGATGTTCGGCCTCGGGGCCCGTGCTTACCCGGGCCTCGGGACCGTCAACAAAACGGCTCAGGACGGAAAACCGAAGCCAGGAATGGGTCGAGACCTTTGGGGGTCGACGCTGACAAAATCATGACGTCGGGAGTCTGGGAACGCAGCAGTTTTTCGAGCTGCGCCCAGCCGTGGCGGCGAGGGTGCCCCCCGAAGGCGAACTACAGGCATCGTGCTGCCGTAAGGGGCACTGACGAATAAAACACAAGGGGCTTTTCTGACCAATGCGAGCCTCGGCCACGACCAGGTTCTCCCACCTGGGCCTCAGGAACGACCCAAAAAACGGCAGCACCGCAATTCTGGTTGGTAGCGGAGCTGGGAGCGATCCCAGCTCGCGATCCACGGACTGCGCAGAGTGCGATGTGGCCCCCCATTCGCACTTCCCACAATCTTCTCATTGGATCCACTGCACCCTTGCCTCCACCCGCCCTCCTCGGAGCCGCTACGACGGCCGCGCCCAGCCGCTGCGCCGCCGCGCGCGGCCACTGCGCCGCCCGCCACTGGCCACCATGCTGGCCGTTACGCCCGCTGCCGCCCGAGCCCGCGCCCGGCCACTGCGCCAGCCCGGGCGCCCGAACGCACGGGGCGAGGCACCGGGCGGATGGCCAGGCCGCGAGGCTGGCGCAGAGGCCAGCAGCCCTGCGCGCCCAGCGCCACGCTCCGCCGGGGTCGCGGCGAGGCGGGTCCAGACTCCGGGCGGGCCAGATCTGTGCGATCCTCGGCCGGCGACACGCAGCCCAGGTCTCCTTGCGCCTTGAGATGACCGCGTCGGGAGTTCTCCGGCTGCTTTCGGCCACTCAGGGTCCTCCCTGGGCCTCGGGACCGCCAACCAAACGACTCGTGATGAGAACCTTGTCCCCGGAAAGGGGTCCAGACCTCTGGGGCCCATGCGGTGAAACATCACGGGGTCTGGAACAGAAGGGTGACTCTTGGGAAGGGTGACATGCGGTGCGCGGCATCAGGGAGAACGGGGGGCCAAATCCGAGAACCCCAGCCAGAAGGGTCACACGTACGGGAAATCTTCCGGCGCTTTGCCTTCGTCTCGAGGCCTCCAGCGGCCGATTCTTCAAGGCCCGGGGGCCATCAGCAGGAACGAATCCAGGGAGAAGGCGCTGCCCTCCTGGGCTGTGAGCTGGGGAGGGTGTCGAGGCCCTCATGGTCGAGCAGCGACCGACCGTCCCGGCATTCATAGAACCAGAATAACATGGAACTAACAGTATCATATACTCGTATAACAGAATAATGTTCTATGAATTAAAACCAATGCTCTTATAACAGAACACCGATGTGTTGAAACAAGAAAGTCCCAGCGAGAAATGTTCGAAGAACAAGTCGTGCAAACCACAGCAGGCCCTTAGAACACTCTCCAGCGGGCCTCTGGGCAGGTCAGGACGCGCCGCCACGGCTTGACACGGGGCCCACGCGCTGACAGAACGAGCCCGCCGGATGTCTGGGGAGGCGGCGCCATGGCGGCGGGGCCGGCAAGCCGTCGACCGCGGACGGCATCTCGGGCCAGAGCGGCGCGCGGAGGGGGGCTCCAACCCTGCGTGCGCCCGAGGCCGCGGGGCAAGCTTGCAGTGCACCCAGGGGCCGGCAGCGGCTTCCTCAGCACCCTCTGACCCAGCAGCGGCTTCCTCGCATCCTCTCGACCGACTCGGAGGGAGCAGACTCGCGCAGTCCTGGGGGCGCCATGCCCCCGCCCGCACTGCAGGGGCCCTGCAGGGGAGCGTGGGTGAGCAGTGGGTCTTGAGGGTGCGCAAGCCTCCCTGGGGTGAGACTCCCACCCTCGCCAGAAAGGTAAAGCACCGCGCAAGCACAAACCTTCGGTGGTCCGCGCGGATTTCTCGGGTCGGCGCTGGCGGTCCGGCGCTGGGCCCACCTTCCCTGGCGTGCGGGGCGCGCTGGGGATGGCCCTGGCCCGGGAAACCCGCGCGGGCCTCTGAAAAATTATGTTCACGCCGTGCTGTGGTTTTCAAGTCCGCCTCCTTCCTTGAGGGGGATGATAAAGGGGGCATGGCTCAGGTGGGGAACGAGCTAGAATCGGCGACACAGCACCGACAGATCGGCGATGGGCCCCCGATAGCAAATGCGCACGCATCCCCCCCAAACGTTGCCCCTCCCTCCCTCCCTCCCCCCTCCCTCCCCCAACGTTGCCCCTCCCTGCCATGCGAGCCCCCTGAGCCTATCCCCCCCCCAAACGTTGCCCTCCCTCCCTCCCTCCCTTCCTCCTCCGCGTTACCGAATCGAGTCCGAGCCACGGGGGGGCTCGCCCATCCCCCCTTCTGTTGTGATGTGATCCTCTGAGCATCATTGAGTCCATCGTTCTGCGCCTGCTGCCGTTCTCAGCTCGGGCGCTCTGGCCGCCCACGAGGTGCTCCTGGCAACCAGAGCGGACCGCCCAGCCGAGCTGCAGGAAAGAGATCTCGCGCCCTCTCACTCCGCTCAGGGTACCCTCACCCCCTCCGCACTGTCGAACCGAGTGCGGGCTAGGGGGAGCTCCAGGGGAGCGGGGCCCGTTGGGGCGCCTGGGGAGCACTCGGGGGCGGCACCCGTGGCACCGACTGAGCGGGCAGCGACCCCAAAAGGTCCCCTGTCTCACCCGCAGAGGGGGGCAGCCCGCGGGCGGCGTCATGGCAAGCCAAGCCCAGGAAGTGACGAACGAGCAATACACACCCATATCCAGAAGGCGGGGTGGAGGGGGCCATTGGTGCGTGTTGTCGGATGGGGGTCCCCGCTCGAACGGGAGCGCCCCCCGGGGTCCGACAACCCGCACCCATACCCAAAGCCAGGCCAGTCCCCCTCCCTCCGACCCCTCTGTGGGTATGAGTGTGCGTTGATCCTTCGTCAAGAAAGCGCCGCCCCCTGGGATCCTGGCAGACAGCTCAACGGCGAGGGGGAGTGGGTCGCCCAGGGGATGTCGCGGAAGTCCGCGGGGAAACCCCACGGCAGAGCCAGGTCCTGGGAACGAGCGCGTGGCGTAAAGCATGCATGTTTCGTTCGTCACGGTCCGGATGCGATGCCTACCGTAACGCGGAGACCATTGTGATGTGAGAAAGAAGCACTCGTCCTTCCCCACGCAGGCCATCTTGCCTGAGAGGTCCCCACAATCTGGGCGCGAAAGGGTCCGTGCAATCCCCCCTTGCGAGTCTCCCTGGACGGGACGACCCAAATGCCCTGCCTGCTACATCGCGATGATCTTGGGGGGATGACAAGAGACGCGTCTATCCCACGAAAGTTGTCATTTTACCTGAGACGCCCCCGCATTCTGAGCGCGAGCGGGCCCGTCATATACCCGCCGCGGCTCCCCATTGGAGGGTCCAAGTGCTAAGCCTGCGACATCGCGATGCTTTTGAAGCTCTGGGGAAACAGGGAGAGGGAGAGAGAGAGAGAGAACAAAAATCATTCACTGCGTGGAGCTCTCCATATGTGCATCTATTCGCATGGACCTGTCCGCCGTGAATGTCTAGGCGCAAGGGCTTTCGAATATGAACGGGCTTCAATTGTGACGGTCTGGTCATGAATCTAACTAAGAATGAATTGGAGTGTGAATGAGCCTCAGTAAAACGAGCGCGTCTCTGCGCATGAGCCGGGGTCCTCCTGGGGCCTCCTGGGGCCTCCTGAAACCTACTAGGGCTTCCTGGGGCCTCCAGGAGCCTCTTGGGGCCTCCTGGGGCCTCCTGGGACCTCCTAGGGAGGATTCGTGCCCCAGGAGAGGCCCCCAATCTATGGGAGCATACGTAAAACACATGGGATTGGAGCCACTCCTGTTGCCTTCTGAGGCCTCCTGCTCCTGGGGCCTCTCGGGGCCTCCTGTTGCCTTCCGGGACCTCCTGGCGCTTACTCTGGCCTCCTGGGGCCTCCTGTGGCTTCCTGAGGCCTCCCGGAGCTTACTGGGGGGGCCTCCTAGCGCCTCTTGGGACATCCTGTGGCCTCTTGAGTGTTTCTGTGGCCTCCTGATGCCTCCTGGGGCCTCATGTGGTCTCCTGGGGCCTCCTGGAGCCTGTTGGAGCCTCCTGTGGCATCCTGAAAGAATCGGTGCCCACGAGTCTGGCCACCGATCGAGACATCCTCAAAATCTGGCCCACCTGGGGGGTGAAAATGAGCGCCTCGCTCGAGACATCCTCCAAATCTGCTCCGGAAACGAAGGATGTTGGGACAGAAAACAAGCAAACCGCCTGAGACATCCCCACAAAACGGCCGCGCTCCCCTTATGGAGGTGAAAATGAGCGCCTCGCTCGAGACACCCTCCAAATCTGCCCCGAAAACTAAGGATGTTGGGACAGAAAACGAGCAAACCGCTTGAGACATCCCCACGAAACGGCCGCGAACGGGACCGTGAGATAAACCCTGGCAGCTCTCCTTAGGGAGGTGAAAATGAGCGCCTCGCTCGAGACATCCTCCAAATCTGTTCCGAAAACGAAGGATGTTGGGACAGAAAACGAGCAAACCGCTTGAGACATCCCCACAAAACGGCCGCGAACGGGACCGTGAGATAACCCCTGACGGCTCCCCTTCGGAGGGGTGAAAATGAGCGCCTCGCTCGAGACATCCTCCAAATCTGTTCCGAAAGCAAAGGATGTTGGGACAGAAAACAAGCAAACCGCTTTAGACATCCCCACGAAACTGCCGCGAACGGGACCGTGAGATAATCCCTGGCGGCTCCCCTTAGGGAAGTGAAGATGAGCGCCTCGCTCGAGACATCATCCAAATCTGTTCCGAAAACGAAGGATGTTGGGACAGAAAACAGCAAACCGCTTGAGACATCCCCACGAAACGGCCGCGAACGGGACCGTGAGATACCCCCTGGCGGCTCCCCCTAGGGACGTGAAAATGAGCGCCTCGCTCGAGACATCCTCCAAATCTGCTCCGAAAGCGAAGGATGTTGGGATAGAAAACAAGCAAACCGCTTGAGACATCCCCGCAAAACGGCCGCGAACGTGACTGTGAGATAACCCCTGGCGGCTCCCCTCAGGGGGAGCTGAAACCAGCGCCCCGCCTGAGACATCCTCACAATCTGCTCTGGCAGCCAAGGATGTTCGGACAGAAAACAAGCAAACTGCTTGAGGCATCCCCACAAAACGGCCGCGAACGGGGCGCGCGTGAGTCTCACCATGAGTAAGTCTGAGTAGGAGTAGGTCTGAGTATGAGTAGGTCTGAATAATTATTCACTGCGTGGAGCTCCCCATATGTGCATCTATTCGCATGGACCTGTCCGCCGTGAATGTCTAGGCGCAAGAGCTTTCGAATATACACGGGTTTCAGTTGTGACGGTCTGGACATAAATCTAACTGCGAATGAATTGGAGTGTGAATGAGCCTCAGTAGTACGAGCGCGTCTTTGTGCATGAGCCTGGGGCCTCCTGGGGCCTCCTGAAACCTACTGGGGCTTCCTGGGGTCTCCAGGAGCCTCTTGGGGCCTCCTGGGACCTCCTAGGGAGGTTTCGTGCCCTAGGAGAGGCGCAATCTATAGCAACAGACGTACATAAAACATTGCGGATTAGAGCCACAGGAGAAGGGCAATCTACAGGAACACGCGTAAAACACCAAGGACTCGTGCCCCAGGAGAGGCCCAATATATAGAAACATACGTAAAACATGTAGGATTGTGTACACAGGAGAAGGACAATCTATAGAAACATACGTATAACATCAAAGAATCGTGCTCCAGGTGAGGCCCAATCGATAGGAGCATACGTAAAACACATGGGATTGGAGCCACTCCTGTTGCCTTCTGAGGCCTCCTGCTCCTGGGGCCTCTCGGGGCCTCCTGTTGCCTTCCGAGGCCTCCTGGCGCTTCCTGTTGCCTCCTGGGGCCTCCTGTGGTTTCCTGAAGCCTTCTGGAGCTTCCTGGGGCCTCCTGGAGCCTCTTGGGACATCCTGTAGCCTCTTGAGTCTTTCTGTGGCCTCCTGATGCCTCCTGGGACCTCATGTGGTCTCCTGGGGCCTCCTGGAGCCTGTGGGAGCCTCCTGTGGCATCCTGAGAAGAATCTGCGCCCACGAGCCTGGCCACCAAAACAAGCAAACCGCTCGAGACATCCTCAACATCTGGCCCACCTGGGAGGTCAAAATGAGCGCCTCGCTCGAGACATCCTCCAAATCTGCTCCGAAAACGAAAGATGCTGGCACAGAAAACAAGCAAACCGCTCGAGACATCCCCACAAAATTCCGCGAACGGGACCCCGTGAAATACCCCCCCGCCGCCCCCCTTAGAGTGCTGAGACGAGCGAATCGCCTGAGACATCCTCCAAATCTGCTCCGAAAACGAAACATGTTGGATCAGAAAATGGCCAAACCGCCTGAGACATCCCCACAAAATTCCGCGAACGGGACCCCGTGAAATACCCCCCCGCCGCCCCCCTTAGATTGCTGAGACGAGCGAATCGCCTGAGTCTGAGTGATGACTGAGTCTGAGTGATGAGAGAGCATGAGCGAGTCTGAGTGATGAGTGAATCTGAGTGGTGAGTCTGAGTGATGATTGGTGAGTGATGGGTGTGGTGTTCTGTCCTGTTCTGTGTC